GAAGCTCAGTCCTCACCTCCTTCTACAGGTGTGCAGTGGAGAGCATCCTGTGCTCCAGCATCAACGTGTGGCATGGAGGCTGCACAGCTGCAGAAAGAAAAGCTTTGCAGAGAGTGGTGAAGGCTGCACAGAAGATGTTGGAGTCAGCCTCCCCACCATCACAGACATCTACACCTCCAGATGCAGGAAGAGGGCCACCTGCATCATGAAGGACCCCACCCACCCAGCACACACACTTTCTGCCCCGCTCCCCTCAGGAAGGAGGTTGAGGAGCATTAAGTGTAGAACCACTAGACTGAGGAACAGCTTCTACCCTGAGGCTGTTAGACTCATGAATCTTTGACCAGGAGAATCACTGTGAAAAACCATATCATGTTGCTGCTGATCTGTTTTATGTTGCTGCTGATCTGTTTTATGTTGCTGCTGATCTGTTTCATGTTGCTGCTGATCTGTTTCATGTTGCTGCTGATCTGTTTCATGTTGCTGATCTGTTTCAGGTTGCTGTGTTCATTCGTGCTCATCTGCTCACACCGACTCATGTTCGACGTAATGTTTTTATGTTATTAGTGCTTAGTGTATTTTTAGTTGATGTTTTTCTTAGTTCATATCTTAGATGTTATTACTGTTTTTATTTTACATTTCATTGTTGGATGTAACTGGGACCCTGTGTACATAATCTCGTTCCACCACGTGTACCACATGGGGTGTGTATGACTCCGACTCTGATCTGGCAGGCTGAGCAGAGTTGGGGCTGAGTAATAGTGGTGGAAATGGGGCAATAGTCACCTCTCGTCTAAGTCTTGTTTCCACAACTCTCTCCCAGATCTTCATCGTGTGGATCATCAACTTAATTCCCCTGTAGTTGCTACAACTCTGTACATCACCCTTGTTCTTAAAAATGGCCACCAGCACTTCTTCTCCATTCCTCAGGCATTTTGTCACCCTCAAATATGTCATTGAATATTTGAGTCAAAAACCTCACTGTCATCTCTCCAAGACATTTACAAACCTCCACTCGTCATCAGGTCCTACTGCCTTCCCCTTCTTCATTCATTTCAGAGCTTTCTGGACTTCACCCTCACTGATCTTTCCCACTTCCTGGTCCACAGTTTCTATGATCTCTACTCTTGTTTCTCTTTCATTCTCTTCATTCATTAGCTCCTCAAAGTACTCCTTCCATCTTCCCGTCACACTCTCCTCACTTGTTAGAACATTACCATTCCTATCTTTAACAAGCCTAACATGCTGCACATCCTTTCCAACCTGCTCCCTCTGTCTCTCCAATCGGTACAAGTCCTTCTCACCCTCTTTAGTGTCCAGTCTCCCATACAACTCATCATACACCTTCTGCTTTGTTTTTGCTACTTCCCTCTTTGCTCTACGTCCCATCTCCTTATCTTCCTGTCTCCTCTCTTCAGTCCTCTCTCTGTCATATTTCTTCTTGGCTAACCTCTTCCTTTGAACATCTTCCTGCACTTCACTATTCCACCACCAGGTTTCCTGCTCATCCATTCTCTGTCCAGATGGCACAACAAGTACCTTCCTCATCAAGTCATCATTTTAAAACTAAAACTGACCCATCAGAACCTCCTTCAGACTCAGAACCCTCAGTGGTTCTCTGTAGGACTTCATCAGTCTGTTTGGGGTCATGGTTCTGTTGGACCCAGTTTGGTCCAAGCTTCAACTGTTGGACTCCAGAATCTTTTGGTCTCCAGAGGAGTTCTGGTCCACTCAGTGAGGAGCCTGAACCATCAGCCTTCACCACCATGCTGACAGCTGGAGGAGCTGTTTGCTGCAGTGCATTCTGGGTAAACATCTGTCCTCTCGTCTGGTTCTGGTCCAGAAGTCTTGTGGTTCCTTCAGATGAAACATTACAAACCTAAGTCGAGCTGAGGTCATGACCTTTTAGCTTTGACCTGATGACAGAAGCCTTTAGAGTCACTGCACTGTCTGACCTTCAGGGTGAATCATCCATCCATCTATTATCTTTTACCCACTTCTTCCATCTTGGATCACAGGGGTCGCCGGTGCCCATGTCCAGCAATCACTGTGCGAGAAGCGGGGTACATCCTAGACAGGTCTCCAGTCCATCACAGGGACACATGGAGACAAACAAACAACATTCTCTCTCACCTAGAGACAATTTAGAGTTACCAGTCAGTCTAACCTGCATGTTTTTGGTCTGTAGGAGGAAACTGGAGTACCTGGAGAAAACCCACGCATGCACGGAGAGAACATGCAAACTCCACCCAGAAAGGTCCCTGGACCGAGATTTGATCCGGCAACCTTCTTGCTGAGAGGCAGCAGGTCTACAAATTGTACCAGTTGCGCCACCTTGCTGCCCCTCAGGGTGAATCAGCTGTGTGAAATGTTTTCTATCTGTAGAACAATGATCACCAGATGACCTTTGACCCTTCACAGAGTGACAGGCAGCAACAGCTGCTTCTCTGAAGTCATTGCCGCTGTCTTTCCGTTTTGGCGTTGTGTTGACACACCTGGATGTTTTTCTCCAAGTGGATCCAGTGATGACGATCAGCAGCTCCTGGCTGATACAGGACCTCAAAGGTCCTATGGGAACAGGTTTCACATTTCATTTGAGTTTTTATTGAAAGACCGACTCAGTGGAACCTGTTCAGGTTAGATTTGAATAATCTTAGAACCCGATCAGTTTCATAAGGTCCTGATGTGTGAAAACCTAGAACTGAAACCAGGTGAGTTTTCTTTTTTCCAAGACTCCATGTTAAACATGAAAGTACATGAACTTGAAGGACTTGTTTAGCGTTTAGGATCAATGGTCCAGGCATTGGACTGCCAACTGTCCAAGTGTTGGACCGATGGACCAGGAGTTGAACTGATGGTCCAGGTGGTCCAGGTGTACTCACCAATGCCTCCAGGGGAGCAGAAGCTGTTCACATTGATCTCAGAAGAAACATCTTCATAATCATGATTGGCTGCTGAGAGACAAGAGACACATTTTCAAAAACTCAGCTCCACCAATCCTGAGAGGTTTCCTGCTGATACACCGTACCTGACACCAGGTGATAGTCTGAGCCCTCTCTCGGATCCACAGGTGCTGCCATGTCATAGATGGGTGTGGCTGCCTGCTGCAGGGTCAGAGGTCTTCTGGGCTTCACAGCGCTGTAGATGGGAGCTGCAGGGGCCTGGGTGTAATCGTTGTCATAGTGATGAGAAGACGGGAGCATCCTGAGGGCAGAGGAAGTCCTGTTCACCAACTGTGCTCCACAGAACCACAAGACCAAAGAGGTCCTGATCACCAGCCATAGTCCACAGAACCACAGGACTGAAGAGGTCCTGGTTACCAACCGTGGTCCACAGAACCAGAGGACAGAGGTCCTGATTACCAATCGTGGTCCACAGAACAACAGGTAAGAGGTCCTAGTTACCAACTGTGGTCTACAGAACCACAGGACAGAAGAGGTCCTAGTTACCAACCGTGGTCCACAGAACCACAGGACAGAGGTCCTGATTACCAATCATGGTCCTCAGAACCACAGGACCAAAGCGGTCCTGGTTACCAATCATGGTCCACAGAACCACAGGACCGAAGAGGTCCTGGTTACCAACCGTGGTCCACAGAACCACAGGACAGAGGTCCTGGTTACCAATCGTGGTCCACAGAACCACAGGACAGAGGTCCTGGTTACCAACCAGGATCCATAGAACCACAGGACCAAAGAGGTCCTGATTATCAACCGTGGTCCACAGAACCACAGGACAGAGGTCCTGGTTACCAATCATGGTCCACAGAACCACAGGACAGAGGTACTGATTACCAAACGTGATCCAAAGAACCACAGGACAGAGGTCCTGATTTTCATTCATGGTTTTCAAAACCACAGGACCAAAGAGGTCCTAGTTACCAACTGTGGTCCAGAGAACCACAGGACCAAAGAGGTCCTGGTTACCAACTGTGGTCCACAGAACAACAGGACAGAGGTTCTGATTACCAATCATGGTCCATAGAATCCCAGGACCAAAGAGGTCCTGGTTACTATCCTTGGTCCACAGAACCACAGGACAGAGGTACTAATTACTAATTGTCATCTACAGAACCACAGGTCCGAAGAGGTCCTGATTACCATCATTGGTCCACAGAATCACATGACAGAGGTACTGATTACCAACTGTGGTCCACAGAACCACAGAACAGAGATTCTGGTTACCAATCATTGTCCGCAGAACCACAGGACCGAAGAGTTCCTGATTAACAATCATGGTTCACAGAACCACAGAACAGAGGTCCTGGTTACCAACCGTGGTCCACAAAACCACAGAACAGAGGTCCTGGTTACCAACTGTGGTCCTCAGAACCACAGGACAGAGGTCCTGATTACCACACATGATCCACAGAATCACAGGACCAAAGAGTTCTTGGTTATCAACCGTGGTCCACAGAACCACAGGACCAAAGAGGTCCTGGTTACCAACCGTGGTCCACAAAACCACAGGACAATGGTCCTGTTTATCAACTGTGGTCCACAGAACCACAGGACAAAGGTCCTGGTTACCAACCATGATCCACAGTACCACAGGACAGAGGTCCTGATTACCATTTGTGGTCCACATAACCACAGGACCAAAGAGGTCCTGGTTACTATCCTTGGTTCACAGAACCACAGGACAGATGTATTGATTACTAATCATGGTCCACAGAACCACAGGTCCGAAGAGGTCCTGATTACCATCCTTGGTCCACAGAAGCATACAACAGAGGTACTGATTACCAACTGTGGTCCACAGAACCACAGGACAGAGGTCCTGGTTAACATTCTTGGTCCACAGAACCACAGGACAGAGATACTTATTACTAATTGTGGTCCACAAAACCACAAGACTGAAGAGGTCCTGGTTATCATCCTTGGTCCACAGAGCCATAGGACAGTGGTCCTGGTTACCAATCGTGGTCTACAGAACTACAGGACAGAGGTCCCGTTACCAACCATGGTCCACAAAATCACAGGACAGAAGTCCTGATGTCTGATCTGTTTATTACCTTAAAAACAAAATGAGCTTCAAGTGTTTATGAAAACATGACAAAGATTAGAAGACAAAACTTGAACTAAAACTGGAACCCATCACATGCTGGAGACAGTCCCTCATCCTGTCTGTGGCCTTCAGTGACAGGATCTCAGTTGAGGAAAAGAACAGGTCTGGTACAGGAGCCTCAGGGTCTGATCTCAGTTTGTGTCCTTCAGCAAGCGCTGAGGTGGACAGCCTGGGTCAGAGCCAGCTCTCCTCAGCTTGAGGCCTTGGTTCTGCTCTGTAAGAAGGTAGAAAAATCGCTCTGTGGTTGAGCCTTCGTCTTGACCGAAGTCTTGTTGTCAGGATGGACTGACGGTTCAGGGCCTCGTCGCTCCAGTCTGAAGAACAAGCTGAGTCAGACAGCAGAGCTCTGGGTTTACTGGTCCACCTACAATCCAAAAACCTCATGATCTGTGGTCAAGAGGTCTGGATAAGGACCACAAGAACCAGATCCTGGATGAGGAGGGTCAGACTCTGATTAGGATGCCTCTCTCTGGAGGGTCTCCAGGTCTCCAGAGGAGGAGAATCCAGGTCACCCCAGAACTTGTTGGAGGGATTTTAGATCCTCTCTGGTCTGGGAACACTTTAAGATCCTGCAGGAGGAGCTGGAGGGTGTCTCGGGGAGAGGGAGGTCTTTGATGATTTCCCATCCTCCCTCCAGGGTCCAACAGGTTGTCCTCTAGTTTTCCTGGCCAGTCCAGAACCGGTCCCAAAGTTCCTAGTTCTTGAAGGTTTCAGAACAGAAAGTTTGTGCAGTGGACCTTCAGCAGGACCTGAAGGGGTTCTGTTACCTGTCTCCACTGCTAGGTGTGGCTACGACAGTGTAGGTGGGTTCTGGTGGAGGCTGCTGGGCCTTTTTGGGCTTGTTGATGACTGCGTACGTTTCGTTCATGTTGACCTTCTGCGACGATCTGTGGACAAACAGAAGAACACGTCCGTCACGAAACACTAGCACATAAACCCCTCCAGACATGGGCTCTGGCTAAACCCTGGAAACTGACTGGCTGCAGAAACACGTTTAGTTCCTGAACTTTCTGTTTTTCAACCAGGAACCTTCGTCGTGTTCAGCGGGTTTTGGTTCAACCTCGGTTTACTTCCTGTAAAGAGTTGTTAGCTGTTGAGCAGAAACGGTCGGATGAGCTGAAATGTGCTGATGTGTGAAGATGGGTCACGGGTTCTGCTCAGTTCCTTAATCAGAAAAAATGGTGTGAATAAAAACAGCAGCCGAGTTTTTCTGAGACGAGAGACAGAATCAGAACATTTCACCTCAAGCTACAGCACAATCACTGTTTGTTCTATCATCAACTCATATTTTTCTAAACTCATCTTAATCACTCTTCATCCAGCTGCAGTTGGTCTGAAGTTCCTTCCTCATGGTGCTCCTCCTCAAGGACTTCCTGTTGCTTCAACAGGCTCCTCCCACAGCCAATGATGTCATGAAGCTTCAGCGTTCCTTTGACCAGAGATGTTTGTTGGTCAATCTCTTCATTACACATGCTTCATGGGTTCTCATCAGAACATATGATGAATCGTTCTTATTCCGGACCGACCTACCGTTCTTGTGGGACAATGATGGACTGTGAGTCCAGTCCAGAGCTTCCTGTCCTCACAGGGACCTGTGCAGTTCTCAACAGAACTCATGCTTTTTACAGACAACCTGGCCATGAACAACACGACGGGACTAAAAACACCAAGACCTCCAGACACTAAAGCATGTCCACCAGGACACTATTTCTGAGTCCAGACTCTGGTTTTCTAGAGGCTCCAAACGGACGCAGCTGGTCTCAGATCAGCCTGCCGGATGAACACAGCTGCTGCTGAATATTTACGTCTCTACAGGAAGGAAACTTGATCTTCACTTCCTCCTCCAGCTGTGTGGTTGTCATGGTGATGCTCAACAAATCAGGGGCGCTAAGGAAGGAAAA